ATATGCAGTTTATTGAGTAAAACATACATGCCAAACAAAGAATTTGTTAAACCGTTCACCCACGAGAGCCGTTAAAAGTGATCCAGACACACGACAAGTTTTCTCTGGCGGGTTGCTCTAAATTGTCGCATCTAATTTTGAATTTCGGGTATGTTGTAGTACGATACAAGACACATACATTCCACTAAAAATTATTGCCATTGCTGCTTTCTAAACGTTTAATATTTAACATTATAAATGTCGCTCTTAGCGGGCGGGCCGGCCGAGCGGGCTGTGCGCTGTCCTTCTCGCACCCGCTGCGTGCAGGGGGGGAGAGACAGAGAGCGCTGCGCGGTGGAGGGGGGCGGCGGGCCGGAGCGGAGGCGGGAGCGCGCTCCGAGGGTCATGTTTAGGGTTCATATCTCTGCAATGGTCCAAGTCCCCCGTGAAGTAAAAACATCGACGTCAAGGTGACGAATGGGCGCACAACTTTGCAATGAACAATTTTTACGCTACTCTTCTGCCATATTTGCTACGACCTGAGGAGCGCCAAGGCACAGTACCGGTACTAACGTTGTTCTCAAATATTGTTTATTTTAGGCTGGTTGTGGGTCATTCCTGTCTACAATAGGGGTATAGATTTGTTCCCTAGTTCTTCCCGGTCATTTTGATGCTATTTGCAGCTTCCTAGGTTGAACACGACAGTTGATATCGTCGATTTCGTACAAAGTTGCACTTACGCCCTTTCGTGTTCAATACCGGGTGTTCCGCACCAGTCCCAAGGTGGGACTCGACGGATTCGTGATCTACACATCTTGATGCACAACTCCACAAAATTTCAGCTTACTATTTTAATTTTCCTAGTTTGGGAAGATCGGTCCCAGGCTATGTCCCTTGTGTATGGTTGTGACAATCCAACCAACAACTTGAAGTGAATTGGGTGAGTAGGCTACATTGCGCGGTTTAAAAGCAGTCGAAGGTGGCGCTGCCTCTGCCAGCTGCTCCCGGATGGATGACACAATGACACGGCCTGCCGGCGCAACATTGTCCAAAAACTGCGAGCGAATGGTCTGTACCGAGGGCTATGGGGCCAGGGTTTGCGCCGCCCAGCCAGTGACTTTACGATCACGCTGTCGGTCCAGCTGGCCGCTCGCGCCCGCGCGCGCCGGCGGCACCGCTGTCGGTGCGAGTGCGAAATGTGAACCTGAGCTGAGATAGCCAGACAGGACGGACGGGGCAGGGCAGCGACAGAGCGCTGCACAGGCCTTCCAGACGAGTCACGGTGGTCGAGGAACACATATTTCCTCGTGGAGGAGTGAGTGCTGTGGTGGTGCTGATGCTAGGAGTGCAAGTGGAGTGAGTTAGTAGCCTGCTGGCGCTTGTCCTCGTGACAAAGTGAGTTTGATTTTTAAAATTGCGACCCGCAATGTAAGTAAAGTGATGTTGTTTGATAATGAATGTGACTGTGATCGGTGCTGTGATCCTGCAGGTAGTCATGGTACACATTTGCAACGCGTGCGGTCGAGAGTGCGTGTGGATGTCTGACCTGGTGACGCACGTCCAGGCCGTGCACCACGGAGACAGGCAGTTCGAATGCACCGTCTGTGGGAGATCATTTAGTCGGAGTGGGAATCTGTCGAGGCATCTCCGACTTCACACGGGGGAGAAACCCTTCCAGTGTACAGTCTGCAAGAAAAGCTTCGCGTACTGTAGTCACCTGAAGAGGCACCTGCTCATTCACACTGGAGAGAAATCTCTCAAATGTACAATCTGCAATAAGAGTTTTGCCTTGCGTACGAGCCTCGTCTCTCACCTCTACACCCACACGGGAGACAAGCCTTTCCAGTGCCAAATCTGTCCGAAACGCTTCCGTCAAGGTTCCAATTTGAAGGTTCACGAGCGCATGCACACAGGCGAAAAACCGTATCAATGTGCAAAGTGCAAGAAGAGTTTTGCATGGAGAACTAATCTAGTATGTCACCTACGCCGTGTGCATACCTGAGAGAAGCCCACTAACTACGTGCTTCTCCCCGAGTACGATGGTGCGTCGGAAAAGGACAACACCAGCTACGTATCGTGAGAGCCAGCGTAGATGAAAAAAAAAGTTCGTGCCTATATGTAGTAGCATATAAATAAAAAGTCAGCTTCTTTCCCTGATTTGGTTCCTTTCTATTTTTTTTCCAGATACCCCTGAGTCAACTGTAGTTACTGTTGAACACTTTGACTAAGTCCGAACCCAAAGAGTGTGCAATGTGCATCATAGACTTAAACACAACCATGCGGACATACCAGTCGCACACTTTTGTTTCCAGTGTATACTTTTCCGCCTCCCCCGCGCTGCTCGTCCGCTCGCGCGCAGAGAGCAAGCGGTAAGCAGTCAGTTTGTACGGCGCCCTCCGCCCGCCCGCCCCCCGCACCCTTCTCGCCCACGTTTGGCCGTTCGCTAATCTGATTTATGGAATGAAAGCACGCGCGTGCTGGGGTGCCCTCTACCCCCCACCACCCTCCCTCCTTCCCATCCACCCCCATGCTCACGGCTGCATTTGCATTGCTGATTCTTTCATGCATGTGTCCATGCGGGAGGGGG